TGGGTGCCTTTTCTCTTTTTTTTGCCTGAATCCTCTAATTCACTCAGGTCAGAGTTTTCTGACGAATCATCTGAGATGGAAGAATCACTTGATGAATCAAAATCTGACTCCTTTATGTAAATGGTAGCTTCAGACTCAGATTTTTCAGATGAGTCTTCACTCCTTGAAATTTGGTCATCATTGGCCGGATGTGGGTATACCTTGCTATGTAGCTTTCTATTACTTAGTTCGGCTAAGTAGGGCTAGTCATCTGTTTGCTTATGGTCTAGCTGTCTTTGGTTAGTTATGGGTAGACCTCGTAAAAGAATAATCTTGTCAGAAGGTCTGACAAGTATCCCCAATTGTCACTTAGTTTTATTTGATAATAAAATATATTTTAGGTTTGATCCTAGTATATCTATTTTAATATTTTTAAAGAAATATTTGTTGATTGTGATGTTTATAGTTGCTTTTTCTATTAGGGTAACATGGTTAGATCCTACTGCTTCTGCGGTTGATTTTTTAGGTTGAAAGTAGAAATACTGGTTATTTTTTTCTAGGAGTTCTAAATGGTTCTTTCCCATTAATATACATGTTGATTCTTTATCAAGTTTGAATTCTGCGAGTATATTACTAATTTTTCTATAAAAATAAAATCTTTTAACTCCTTTTGGTTTCAATTTGGTTTGCACTTTTTCTTGGGTCTAGTATAAAGTATTTGTAGCAGAATAATCATTTACTTTAGTCAAAGGTTTACTTATTTCTTTATTTATATAAAAATATTTCATTATTACATATTTGATTAAACTCTGTGATACAGCCATTGTTAGGTTGTATTGGGAGTGAGTTCTGAGTATTACGCAAGCTTCTTTTTAGAAATACTGTTCTTGAGAAGTAGAAGTTTCTCTTTCTAACTCTTCTTCACTGTAAGAAGGTTCTTCTTCTTCGAAGTGGAACACTTCTTGATACTTTTCACATAATTCTGAATACTTATCGTATTCTTCATCATGTTCGAAATTGTGGACTTCTTTGTTTCCAAATTTCTTGTGGAGTTTCTCCAATAATTTGAGTTCTTGAGTTTTCTTACGGATTTCTTCTAAGTATTTGCCATCTTGATTGTATTCTTGTTTTTTTGGGTTGAATTGTTTTGGTACCGATGGTTTATATTCTACGTTATTGGGATTGCTGAACCTGATTTCATCTTTTGATTCTTTGTACATTGGTTTGCCTTGAAAATTCTTTCTGGTACTTTTGAATTCTCGTTTAGGCTGGTAATTTCCTTTTTCTTTTTTAACAAAAGGTTTTGTTTCTTGTCTAGATTTCCCATTTCTTTTGTTACGAGGTTTGAACTTTCTTGGTTTTTTTTCTCGTGGTTTATACTCTTTTGGTTTGTATTCACTTTGGTTACTTTTAGCTTTGATATTTAATAATTTTATTTGGTCATTAAGTTTATCAATGACTTTTTGGTACTTTAGTTTATCAGCTTGGATCTTTTCTCTATAACTTTGGCTTTGATTATCTTTAGGTTTGCTAGTCCATTCCAGATATTTGGCATATCGTTTGATGCTTGTGCAGTCTTTTTGAAAGTGTCCATATCTTTCACATTTAAAGCATAATACTTTGCTTAGGTCTATAACTACTGGATTTTTCTTGGATGAAAAGAATGCTTCTTTGTTTTCAGATTTGTTGCCAAATTTGGTTCAAAATTGTATTTCTATGTCATTGTTGTAAGTTTTCAGCCATTCGAATGATGAGTGGTGCTTCTCTAAAGAATTTGTAGTGGTTGAGCTTGGTGGGGTGTAGAAGCTTTTTAGTACTCCTTTAACCGTGAATAAATTGCCCTTGATGTTGTTTATTTTGATTTGTTCTGATAACCAAGGCCATGTGTGGTCGGTGAGTATTTTTTCTTTAAATCTTCCCCATGCTGTGATGTATGGCTTCCAACTATCTGGCCAGCCCTTAGTTTTGCAAGGAGTTTGGGACAAAGC